GGGTTTAGGGTCTTAAGGGTTTAAGGGTTTAGGTTTTAGGACCAGAATCCCTATTGGCTCAGGGTACGCTGCTGAGATCTAGAGCCTCCAAAACCTCAATCCTAAGCCGCGCATTCAGCCTGATGAAACCTTACATTTCAATACAGTAGAAGCCCAAAAGTTGGAAACCCAATAGCCCCAATCCTAAAGAGCACTAATTGTCCTTAATCCGGTTTCCAACTTTTTGGGTTTACTATATACCCTACCGGGGGCAGGGACCTGTGTAATGAGATGGCGAACCCTAGCCCCCAAAGCCAAGACACTCCCCGAAAAAGTCCATGACCCGCTTAGGAGCCTTAGGGTAAGCCCCTAAACCCTAAACCCCGCGAGAGCCATCAGAACCCCAAACTCCTGAACTCTAATCACCAACACCCCATAGCCTTAAACCCTTAGATCCCTATTTACAGATGATTTGCGGCTAAGCACTCCTGACCCCAAAGAACCATCGCTCTAGGAGTTCTAAGTAACTTACAACACCGAACTCTCATATGTCGTACTAAGGTAGTTTTGTAGGCTTCAAGGAACCCCATAAACTTAACCTCTCAACTCTCAACCCTAGTATTTACCCGGAGACACAAACCCAAAACTCTAAGCCCTAATAGAACCCTTAAGGGAACCCTTAAGGAAACCACAAAAGGAAGCCTAAACACGGACGAAGCCCGACGGCCAAGGCAGCACCCAGCTGCCGGCAGAACGTCTCCGAGTGCGCGGCGATCGTCACCGGCGGTTCCGGCTGGGGAGCCCCTGCCACATGTGGAGATCGGGGGGGGGGGGGGGGGGNNAGGGTTGAGGGTTTAGGTTTTAGGATTTAGGGTTTCGGGTTTAGGGTTTAGGAATCTTCTTGTCAGGGGCTTGGGGGGTTTTGTGAATGTGAGCTTTTCTTGAATGGGGGTTTGGGGTTTTTACACACCATGTTGCGAAACGTTCTTATGAGGGTTTCAGAGTGTTGTGGTAGGGCTCTTACGGGCTCTTATCAGGCGTTCATCGCTTCTAGCGCTATCTGATCTGAGGGCTTTATAGATTGAGTTTACGTGTGGGTGCTTGTGGGTTTTCTCCCCTTTAATTTGGGTATCTGTTGAGACTTTCAGTGTGCCTTATTCTGTTGTGTGAGGGTTTCATAGGACTACTTGGGGCTTTCTGGAGTGTTCAGGTTTGTAAGAAGTTTTAGAGGGTTTACGGGGTCAGAGAAAAGATCATTCGGGCCTGATGAGGCGTTTGCAGTGGTGTCTCGGGTCATGGAGTAGGGTTATAATAAAACCTGATAAACCCTGACCCCTAAACCCGAAACCTTAAACCCTAAACATTATGGGAGTGGGGTTACGGTCACCGACGGGGTCCCTCCTATTGTCCCTTAAATTTCGGCTTGGGTGGCAAGAGGTTCCCGACATCCTCTCATCTCACGAAGCGGTACCTTAAACCCCACTTGGAGGATCATGGGACTTAGTAAGTCAGGTTATAAGTCCCCTAATTGTGGATATAAGTATAGTTACTTAGTTATAACCCTACTTACTAAGTCCCATGATCCTTTAAGTAGTTCCTTAACTCTACAGTATAAGCCCAAAAGTTGGAACCCAATAGCCTCAATCCTTGAGCAATGTATAGGGAATCCCAGCACTAATTGTCCTTAATCCGGTTTCCAACTTTTTGGGGTTCCCTGTAAACTTAGCCAAGGGAGCATGAGTTCGAGGTGCTGTCAAGGCGCTGGAATGCAAGAAGGCTTTTCCCAGAGACTCTAACGACCTCTTAGTCTCGGAATAGCCTAAATGTCTGAAATAATGCTAATGACCCTAAACCCTAAACCCTAAACCCTAAACCCTAACCCCTTTACACTTTTGAGGACATGGCTTGGTTAACAGGTTTGCGGTCTCTTGGTCGCTGCAAAATGGTTTCTTGTTTGTAGCAAACTTAGTCGTTAGTACGGGTCTCTTAAAGAGGGTTTAGGGTTTAGAGGGTTTTGGGTTTAGGGTTAGTTCTCCAATACCCAACCTTTAAACTTTTTGGGCTCTTATAGTTTAGTAGTAATCTGAAAGTTTAACCTTTTATTTTCCTGGCTTGTTGGGGAAGTAAGCAAGGGTAGCACCGGTTCAAGCAGGGATTACTAGGCTGTGTAGGCCGCTTTCACCTCCACCCTCCCTTACCCAGAGATTCCATACACACTACCATTATGGAATTAGGCCCCAAAAGACCATCCTAGTAATGGTGTTGGGAAACCGACTTCCGTAATGTTACCCTAAACCCTAAACCCGACACTCTAAAACCATTAGTAGTATATATGGAGCCCTAGGGTTAAGTTAGGGTTTAGGGTCTAGGGTTTAGGGTTTAGGTGAAGTATCCCTAAACCCTAAACCCTAAACCCATATAGCAGGAATGACGGAGATGCCACAGCAAGCCTTCTTCTGGAATATGCCCCTGGCCTTCGCCACCGCAGCGCAGGCCTTGCTGCACATACTAATCTGGGTTCTTGTTAAGGGATTTAATTTAAGTTACCATAATAGGGATCTATAGTAAATAATATGGTTTCCTTACTATGGTAACTTAGATTAAATCCCTTAACAAGAACCCAGTAATACCCTAAACCCGATCTTCTAGGGTTTAGGGCTTAGGGCTTTAGGGCTTTAGGGCTTTGGGGTTTAGGGCTTTAGGGTTCGGGGTTTAGGGTTTAGGGTTTAGGGTTTAGGGCTTTAGGGTTTAGGGTTTAGGGTTTAGGGC